TATTAATATGATTTATTAATACATAAATATTATTTTGATGAATTTTTTTTTAAAATTGAGTGGGGGTGCCATATGGAACTCTTACCTACAGTTCTTACGTGTTTATCTAACATATAATGTACCTAAGAGAATCTCTCAATTTTTGTTCATCCTGTAGACCATCAATAATCTTCTCAATACTTCCATATTTTTCTTGATCATTAGTCAGCTGCTTCTGTGTGCTGCCAAGAGGGCCAGGATTGGACGTGTCACACTGCACTTCATATTGTTCATTGTTTTCACATTTGGTAACATCCGAAGCCAAGTGTCTTAATTCTTTGAATGGTTTTTGATGTTTCCAAGATTTTGTCAATTTTTTCATCTACATATAAAATTAATGTATCATTCGGTGACTTTTGTTCTGCATAAATAAAAATTTGACAATGATGGTTGACAGATGTTAGTAAAACCACATTGGATTTCTTTTGTAACATTCTTATCTAACAATTAAAAATTTAAATGGCCTAAAATATTTTTTATAACAACCATAAAAATGTAACTTTAACAATAGTTTATTCCATTGTTTAAAAGCAAGTATTCTGTTTAATTTGATGTTACACCTGATTAGTAAGTTTTACAAATGTAAATAGGATTATGGATGCACTGTAAGAATGCTGACCAGAACCCATTATTCAGTCAAATATGAGTAGCTCAAGATTTGGTGGTGGGTGTTGATTAGTATTCTTCCTTTAAGGCTGTTGGTTTAAATTTAGGGATGGCTGTGTACAGGCAGCCCTTGTGTTACTTTGCAATGATTTAAAAATAACAAAAAAAGGAAATGCTTTTCTTCTAGCACAACCAGGCAGCAAAATGGTTGAGCATTTTATATGAATGTATTAGTATTTACAAAAGAAAAAGAAAAAAAAACATCAAAGAGGATTATTGAATCTTTCAAACACTTTTGTGACTCACAGTTTGAGAACACCTGTTGTAGATCATGGATAAGTTCATGTACAAGTTTATAAAATTTATGTATTGAAGTGAATGTTTTGTTGATTTTCACCTATTATTGACATATATAATTCACTAGGATTTTAGTATTATGGTCTAAAAATATAGTTAAAAATATTAAGTTTCACTCTTTTTATCATGTATATTGGATAACTAAAGTCTAATACTAGTGTTATTTCAATATATATAAAATATCAAATTAATATTTTAAATTGGATTTTAGAAGAAATATTCAGAAAAGCATTCAAAAATTGATTTCTTAAGATGAAGTACACAAAAAAAGGCTTATAAGTTTTTCCTATAATGGGAAGGAAAAGACATGATAGATTCCCATTCAATATGAACACAAATGTAAAACACTTGTTTATAATCTCAAAGTTTTCATGCCCACTGTTAATGATTGATGTAAATGTAATATCATTGGACATGAACTTGATGAAAGTTCAGGTCTAAATCATCATTCTTTTGCTAACAAGTTAAAGATAGGGGTACTCAAACATTTTCAGTCTGATATGTCCTCTTTTGTGAGGGTGAACATTTAAGACTCCATCATTTGCCAGGTTACAAAAAATGAGAATACTGTCATAAAACAATTATCAGTAAAATAACACAGTTCTACACATAAAATTCATTTTTGAATTATTCCACAACCTTAAAACATTAAATCACAAAACACTACTAGCAATAAAGAGAAAGCATGGCTCCTATTGATAGCATGTCAGGACTCTGAATCTGAGGATTCATGGGTTATATCACAGTGCTGGAAAATAAGTGCTCTTTATTTTAACAAAACTTTAAAATATAAACTAAAAAGGCCAAGGTTAATCACACGGCAACCAAGTATTAAATGAGAGTTTTCATACTAAATAAGAATTAAAATTGGTTTGGCTCCTCCATTGATAACAATTAATACACTGCTCGATTCTTGCAGAAAATATTTTCCTTAGACCCTGCAGTCTGCCATGCAAATGGCAAAAACTTAATAAAAAAAGAAAAAATACATCCTTAGCTTCACAAAAAATGAAAAAAAAATATTAAAAGGATTATTTATTTAAGGTATACCTCATTTCACAATTTAAACTTCTTACTAGATTGTGTCTTATGCTCTACTAACTGGGTTATTTAAGCCAGTGGAATCAAAGGGGTATCTACAAAAAACTCGCTTGCTGCAAGGTTGGCAAGCAATTAGCCCCCTTAACATAAAAATTATGTTCATAAGGTGAAGTATTCAATTACAAAGATTTACAAGAAGGTTTTTGTATATTGATATATTGGGAAAAAAAAGACAAATGATAGATTCTATATCTCCATAAAAACAAGTGTGCAAAATTTATAGTTATAACATCAAGAATTTTTTGCTTCTGCTCATTGTCAACATACAAGTGAGTGATTAACATAAATGATTATTGACACTGAACAAGAATTTTATACGAAATTTGAGTCTACACTTACTTTAAATTTTATTTTAAACCCTATCAAAAACTATTACTATTAGTTTTTCTCTAAAAGTAAAACAAACATAACAAGCAAGTGAAATGAACTTAATTGTTTTAGTTTTACTATCTTAACTTACAGAGCTACACAGGCAAGTTCTGACTCTACCTTTAACTTTAAATGTTTAGGTATAATTATAAACTACCAGACCATGTGCCACTGTTATTTACGAGAACTAAGTAAACGTATAAGGTAGTGTTACTATTGTTAATTGTTAACATAGGCTTTGGTATTTAAACTTTAAAGTTAAAGCTGTATTTAGTTTAACCCAAATAAGTGAAATATCGGGCTAGGTACTTCAAGTACCAAATTGTTAAAAGATTACCTAGCCCGATATTTGGGTAAGATTTAGTTTTAAGCCGATTGATAATTTAAACGTACTCAAAAGTACAGCATTACTAACAACAATTACATTAGGTTTATGTATTTCAACTTTAAAGGCTTAATTAATAGTACTAATACACAGTTCACCAAATTAATTATGTCACTTTATCTTTCACATACTTTAATATCATTAAGTTTCGTATCAATCTAACGAATAAATTTAAATTTAAGCCAAACTTAAATAAGTTTAATAATATTCAGTTTACACTTTTAAAAATTGCGCTTTCTCTCCCCACCCCCCATAAAAAGGTTAGTTGCTATATTTACCAATAGGGAATTAATTATATTTCAGTTTGAATTTCTAGCATGCTATTCGAGAGCTACCTGGTCAAGCGGTTCTTAATTTTGAAGTGATAGACTAGTAAGAGGGCACCTAGTCAACAAAACATGCTGCCGCCAACTCTTGGGCTACTATTTTACCAATGAAAAATCAGACTGACAGCCACATTATTACAACGCCCTCAAGGGTAAAAATGCGAGCATGTTCGGTGACGGAAATCGAATTCACGACCCGCAGGTTGTGAGTCGAGCGTCCTAACCACTAGGCCAAGCCAGGCCCCGGAGTCGCTGGAGACAATGTTTTATTATTCTTATTAATAAAACAATCTTATTATTTAATTTCTGTAGTGCATATTGGTGTATAGAAGACATATTAATACTAGAAATAAACGACATTATAACACCAAAATGTTATTTTTATTTAATTAGACACTCAACGTTTCGCTTTACAGCTTCTTCAGGAGCATTCACTAAAACACAAACCAAAAGCTGACATTACAAAGCTTCAAATGGTTTAAATAATAAATTCTATTCGAATCTATAACGTGCTTTTGACATATTAAATAGTAAAGCTTATTCTTGAATGAAAAGTATTGTTGAAATAATTAACTGTCACCTGTAATAAACAAAAGTTCTACTAAAATTACATATTGAAATAACAAAAAGATATGATAAAATAAAATGATTACAATTACAGGCGCCATCCTTTGTCCCTATTCACCTGTTGTTGTAGTTGTTCGATGAGAAAAGCTTCTTTGAATTTTCTGTCAGTGTACTTAGTGACTTTGGTGAAGATTTGTACAGAAAATAGTGGTTTCAAATCAGTTGTTACATGTCTATGATTAATTAAAAAATGATCTGCAACTGCGCTTCTATAATGTTGTTGTATATATCGAATGTCAATATGTTTTCCTTTCCTTGTGTGTATGGTTCTTTCGGTTTCTCCACTGTACGTATGATGGCAAATGTTACATGTACGGTGGTAAACAACATTGGAGACAAGACACTCATCTTTAGATTGTGACCATGTTTTTGTAAGACAGTTGGTTTTATGACATTGTAGTGCGTGTACCGAGATTTTGAAAGTTGGCTTTTTGGGGTTGTACCTGGCCGTTATATAACTTTAATTGGCAGTTCAGATTTTCTGATTACAGTTTTTATTTTCCTGGAGATAGCTTCGTCAATTAGAGGTGTTACACAAATAACTTTTTTGTGTTATGTTTAGAAAATCTTTCTTCTTGTTTATCTGTGTTTTCTCATGTTGCAAATGTGATGCTGATTTTTGCGCGTCATATTCCTTGAAAATGTTTTCGATGTAAAAAAGATGGATTTTCGTTGCTCAGAAGAAGTGATTTTAGTTCGGAGTGTGTTTTGTTTCTGTTTTTCACTACATTTGCGATCGATTCTGTTTAATTCTCCAAAAATTTCGCACTTCTTGGAAGCTTTGGGATGATGGGAGTCGAAGTTAAGGAAGAGAGGTTATCTTATTGATTTGTGAAACAAGTTAGATTGTATATTATCAGTGTCAAACCTTAAAGTAACGTCAAGAAAATCTATGTTCCTCTTGTTATTCGAATGATTCAGGGTGAACTGGATGTTGGGGTCTATTGAATTTAGAAAGTCTGAAAATTGAATTAAAGAAAGAAGACCGTGGTTCCATAGTCCAAACACGTCATCGATGTACCTAAGCCAGAGATCAGGGCCGGTGTTGGTATCTTGACGCCACTTGGCAAGTGCCGTTGTTTCAAAAACGTGCATAAATAACAATGACTCTATTACCCACTGATACACCACTGAGTTGGAGATACAGTTTGTTGTCAAAACGAAAATATCCATTGTGGAGGATGAAATGTAAGATTTCTCTGACAGTGTCAGTCCGTACATCTCCAAATTGTTTATGTGATTTGACATAAATTCACACTGCAATGACGCCATCCTCTGTTTGTATATATGGGAAGAGAAAAAATATAAAAATACGATAATGAAATTGGGAAAATTAGTTTGATTTATTTATTTGCAATGCAAACCTACAAATTACCTATCTGCATTGTGAAATCGAACACGATTTTAAAATTGTAAATCTGTATATTTACCAGACTAAAGGAAAAATAAGTAAAAACACTCAATAATAAATAGTCATCTAATTCTTGAAAATTGTATTAAACGTTTTGGAACTAAGCTCCTTCTCAGGAAACAAGAGAAATTGTAAGATTCCATCAGCGAAAACCTTGAATTATCTATATATAAACTTTTAACAATTTTATTCATCATATTAAAGATAACTTCTCATTAAAAAGTAAACAAATGCTGTTTTAAGAGTATTAAGTGGTTTGCCCGTTTGTTTATAACACACTAAAGCCACATCGGGCTATCTTGTGTGTCCACTGCGAGATATGGAACCCCGAATTTTAGAGTTGTAAGTCCGTAAACTTACCGCTGTCCCACCAGGGGACATATTAATCAGTAATCCTTTTATCAGCCATAAAACTATGATATTTGAACAGCCAAATAATTAACAAAAAAGCAAAATGGTTTTCAATTCCCGAAATGTGGACGAAAATTTGCAGATCAAGATAATTTTAATGTTACCTTAGTTTGATTATTGTTTCTGGTGATATTTTCCAAAGAAATGCAGAAAAGCTTTTCAATACTTCCAAAACAGTTTTTAAGTATTTTAGTTGTTGCCTTCGAATCTTTGATGAAGCTGTTGAATTGTGGATATGCAAATTTCTTTCTAGAAGCATAATTTCCATTCAAGTATGCTCAACGGCAAGTCTGCAAGTTTACGACGCTAAAACATCTGATTTCGATTCTCGTGGTGGGAAGAGCATAGTACACTGTGTAGCTTTGTACACAATAACAACTACATCATTCAAGTAAACTTATTCCTGCAATAGTGCTGGACAGATCGAACATAATTATTACACCTATATTTCATATCAAACATCAACCTGTTATGGCTAAATCCATATTGAATTAACGGAATAAAACGATATTGTTTTCATGTCTCTTATTGCATCACGAGTTCTCTCATGAACATTTGATTAATAGATCAGGTAACAGTAGACTGATAATACTAATTAGAAATTGGATAATTTTCCTCTAGACACATTAGACTACATTGCTAAGCACATAAATACATAATAGGATTTATGTGCTATGCCCATCACAGGGATCAAACCCTGAATTTGAGCATTACAAGCCTTTGAGATCAGAACTTCTAGATCATGAATGGTACTATTCAGATAAAATTCTTTGTTCATGATTAGTTTGTTGGATACCTACGTATTAACCCGAGAAGCTATCAGCAAGTGGATCCACCAATGGGCCATAAATTCATGGAATTCTTAATGTTTTTATATTTGGTAGACATTGTAAAAGACACCACTGAGCAATGTATGAGAAATGTCAGTTACAATATAACCTGCCTAACTTAATGTTTACAAGAACAAGCCCTTCACAGTTTCTGTAATTTTCAGGTTTTTTTAAAAATGTAAACATTTTTAGTCATCATGTAGTTGCAATTGCTTTGATATTTTACAAATTTGCTCCTTTTGATTTTGGGATCATAAGATTGCTTTTTGTGTGGAATTACAAAAAAAACAGTATTTTTATCCTCCAAAACAGCCTGTCTGCTGAGTAATTTAGAAGAATATATTGGTAGCATCAATGCTACATATTCTCCAAATAAACAGTAAAAAAAAAACTAAAAGCACCATACATATGAGACCTTTGTTTTCTTAGCTCTAACCAAACAAAAGCATTGGCATCTTTTAGATCTACATTTGTGGAAGTATTTTCTATTCACATCATTCAGCCAAATGGTAAGTAATCATAGACAAGTCTAAAACAGAGTTGCATGGGTTATTGAGTAATATATCTTAGTTCCATCATTGAGCATTAAGATGCTAAGGTTGATGTATAAATCTTCTACTTGTGAACCATTATGATCAAGGATGTTTTCTGCATTGAAGTCACCAACAGTCAGAACATCTTTTATTTCAATATGTGATGATGTTAGATTGATACTGAATATTGACCTATCTTGATGATAAACAGTTATGATTATGAGCTTGGACTGATCTGGAAGATGGATAATGACTAAATTAACTCTGAAATTACTATCATTCTCAAGTACTATAGGGCCAGCTGATTCAGTCTTTTCAAATTTGATATCAGAGTTTTTGATTAAAAAAAACTATTTCTCCTTCACTGCAATTTTCTCTATCTTTTTCGATTATAGTCTTCCAAATAGATTTATCTTTTTTTTTCCTAGTAAGTTTTGTTTCCTATAGCACTGTGATATGTATATTGCTTTTATGCACGATGTCAGTAAACTCTTCTATTTCTAGTCTTGTTTTATCAATATATAATTTTGAAGCGTCCAGTCAGACCCCAGTAACATATTTATGGGCAAACTTCCTGAGGACACCTGTAAGACCTGGTGTGTCAGCTTCCATGAACATGGTAACATTTTGGAATAGAAGTACCACAGCCCAATTAGCCATCCTGTTCAACATCATCCTGTTTGATAAAGGTGGCTCTACAGTGATACTTGCTTCCACTACCACTATGACATAGCCTAATGAGGCTTCTGTTGCCATTCTAATAATTATGATGTCTAGGTTGGAGTTTAGGAGAGCCTTTTCTAATTGTATCTTTGTGTCAACTTTGCTGAATATGGCCAACAAAATCAAAATGTTCCACCAACTATTATATTTTTCATCTCTTCTTTAAAGCACATTATGTTTCTCTCTTATTTGTCAATTACATTTTAATTTATAAAATAAATCATCTTTTAAAACTTTCATACACTAAATGACTCGGAGCATTTTGCCTAAATTATTAAATAATACCCTATAGTATTATGAAGTCTGCACGTGTTAAAAAGATTGAGTTCATAAAACGTGATTATAATATCAATCACATTCAAACTCGTGTTATGTATACAGATCTGATTATTATTTTACAACCACAAATGTGAACAAAAGTAAATAAAAGACCTAGCAGTACATATTTATATTACTATAATACTCATCAGCCCCTTGAACTTATAATGTATTTGAAACAGTTTTTATTGGGTTTATGAAATATGCTTAGAAAATGAGCTTTACAAGTTAAAAGCCAGAAGCCTCACTAACACATCATAGGTCAAGTTTTACCAATTCATTTCACAAATGCTGACCTTATCCATTGTATTATATTTATAGGACTACAAAGCTTTGTTTATCCTTCTCATATTGATGAAGAAAACAAATTTCATCATGTTAGTTCATTTAACTTCTGTCCAAATTACAAAATAATTAAAAACAAAACTATGGTCAAATGAACTTTTTGGAATACTATTATGATTTGTTTGTTCTTTTATTCTTTCCTGAGTGAAAACATGTTTGATCAACGATGCTGCCTCTAAATGAGAGGCCAAAGATTAAATAAGAAAACATCTTTCATGATTTTATAGGTGTAAATGATAAGGATCAATTGACATCTTATGCTTTTCACATTATTAATCAGTATGTCATATTTTAGAATGTCCTACTGTCCTTTGATTTGTCTTCAACATAAGAGGTAAGTGACAAATAAGTCTAAAAGACAACAATACTACTGAAATGTACATTATGTATTTCATTTCAATGCCCAATATAAAAGATTAGGTTGTTTAGATGGAAAAAATATTTCCAAAACTTTTAACTTATATCTACCAGGTATTCTTAAAAAGTATGTATTTCTGAATTTATGACAAAGCTATTTAGGCTAACTGCTGCTGTCCCTAATTTTGAACTACCCACCAGAAGTACCCTACCACCCACTATCCATGATAAGAGATTGACTATCATTCTTATGATGTACTTTAAGCATAAAATGCAGAGAATATTTTGAAGTATTGCATGCATTCAAACCTGGTTTGTCAGCTCCAAAATTGAGAGTTCTACCACAGGATCAACTAGCACCCAAAACTTGTCTGACAACAATCTTGTAAATTTGATGAAAATATCCTAAAAAGGTTTTAAAATCAGGGGGTTCCACAACTGTGTTTTTACAAACAGTGGAGTAAATCAAAAGTCATAAAGCTGTTTTTGAGAAGCTTTTATTTATACCCATTTCATTAAAACCTAAATATCCAACTTCTGATAGTATGAAAGAAAATTTAAATTTGTAACATGCCCTACACAATCTTAAGTAATAGACTAATATTTATTTTCTCAATTTTACCAAAAACTCTTATTAAATGAACTTCTCTTTGTATTTCTATGATGCTTCGTCACACACCATAAAAGTTTGTTGTAAAATTTCCAAGTAGTTTTCATGCTTAACAGTTTTCTCTTATATACTAAACTAACTAATATTTAAGACTTTTACTTGAGCAGCAATTGTAGCTTTTCAATGAATTACAGCAAAACAAAATAAATCTCCATGTAACTTTAATGCTGGATTAACCATTTTACTGTTTAAGTAAGCAGTATAATTTTCTGAGAAGCATTATAATATTATCTTTCTCAAATAATGAAAATATTGTATTTTTGACCTTCAGTCTCATGTGAAAGTGAACAAAACTCAAAAATAAAGGAACTTTAAGTAGTAAAACATATTGAACACTTCCTGTTATCGAAATGCAACTGTAATTTTCTTCTGTGAATTTTTCTTACAAAACTTTTGCACATTAATTTCAAAACTAACTAGAAAGTTTATAATTCTATATACTAAAATTTTCAATATTCAATCTACAGGATTTTGCTATAATCTTTGACATTCTGTAAAAAGACTGAGAACATTAACACAAGTCATAGTGTCCAAATTAAAACTTAACATTACGCATTTTTTGAGAACACACACACACACATATATATATATATATATATATGCTATACCGAGTTTAAATTTATCATGGTTAATAATCACTTCACAAGGATTATGTTATTACCTCACAACCTACCTATATATATACCAGATACATTAAAAGATTTAGAGAAAGTACATGTGCAATATCTACAAAATTATACCTGGTGTCAACAATCTATTATAAAATTTGAAAACTAAAAGTTTAAGAATATTCACATTACAGATTTTTCAAGAAAAGCACACTGGGCAGGAAAACAAAGCATCTCCTAACTGCCTATACTATCCTAAGTGTATGAAAACTTGTAACATAAAAAAGAAGCATTTTCTACAAAATTATATCCAACTGAACCATATTTTCCATAACAAAAATTTACATCATCAGTAAAAACTTTACACAGTACATCAATGCTGAATTTATAATTTTTAGTAACTTGATATCTAAAGTAAAAATTAAATTATAGTTGTAAATACGTGTGTTTGTATGTGTATATCAACCGTAAATACTTAAAATACAGTGTTTATATCAAAGATAACAGGTCTGTATGGGTCTTTCATAATCCACATACTATGACTTTTAATATATATTTGTATTGTATGTACAAAAACACCAACACATATGTTAAATTAAGATAATTAGCCCTGGATTCAGAACAAGACCAGGGACATGCAATTAAGTGAGCTTTAACTAATTTTCAGAGCCTTCATCACCTGCAAAAAATAAAGAAAAAATATCACTGTGGAAATCCAAAGCCTCTCTCTCTATATTTAATTTCCTTAGTAAGTAGCTAGTACAATCTTCTAATACATTACTTGTAGTATTTATGTTTAAAGTCATCATTACCACATCTAACATAACTTCAGTCAAACTTTCATACTTGCTATGTTTTCAGTGAAAATATATAATTAACATTGTCTATAACATGCTAATACTCTGTTAATGACTGCAAATTTAAATTTGTTAAAAACCCAATGTCACTGGAAAAAAAACATATGGTTAACATGATCACTGAATTTAAAACCAAATAAAAAATTATCTTTAAGGATGTAACATTAACTATACTCTGATATCACTTGATTTTTTTCCTTTTCAAAATGAAAATAGTAAACCAAATTGCATGAAATTTCACACAAACTTATAAATAGTATCTAATTTTGGCTCTAAAAATTCATATAAGTGTTTATGTCACAAAACTTCCAACGTCTATTGCGAGACATTTTTTGGAGCAACCTTAAATATACTCCACATTAGGATTTAATATTTTTTACTGTGGTTCATTCTCCTTTCTATTCCAAGTTGGGTGTTTGTTGCAAGTGTTTAAAAAAGTAACTGTGTTTGTGAATACAGTGTAGTTAAAATGTTAATTACTTTACAATTAGTATGTTTGTAACTATGATTAGCATGTCTGTGGTAAAATTTAAACTTCTTAAAGTTAAAACAAAAGTAGGAGGATGTTACTCCTCATAATATAACATATTAACATAAAACATTAGCAAATTCAAAAATATTTAGGGAGTGTTGGTGTTTGATATTTAAACTGTGAAAGCTGCATATTTATTCGTAAGATGTTTAACTCTTTGTATGGCAGGGTCAAAGGGTGAATGAGCAATCTGTTACAAAGTTGCATTAAAATATGAAAAATGTTATTATCAATGCAAGTCAATAAAGCTGCCATCAAAATGTAATTTATAATTAAAAATCTCTATGTTATCTAAAGAAATTCTCAATCATCATTTGTATCACATGACATGTCCATACTCTGAACTCTCACTGTTAAAACTTTAACTTCAACAACATAACTTATATAGTCTAATAATTTAGAAACACAAATTATACATAATTACAAGCAAAAATATAATCTGCCTACCTTCTTGATTTTATAAGTTATCAATAAATTTGTCAAACCCACAAGAACTGTCCCTCCCATCCTTCTATGTCTTTCAAGACAATTATATAGTTAAGTGTACATAGTTGATAAACATGCTGATAACCAATATAAAGAGTATATTCTCCTCTAACTAAATTCTTTGTTTATTTTTGGCAAAGAGCAACATTAGTTGAGGTGTTTGTTTTGTTGAGCAAAGTCATTGCTCTAAGTAGTATGGGAATTTTTTTAAACATGTTTATAGTTTAGTTGGAAAACCAGTGAAGGCACTAGCAAGGGGGGGAAGAGCAGGGAGCTGCCTCCATGGAAATGTAATACCCACCTACCCTCAAGCTAATGCTGTCCAGTAAGTTAACCCTTTCGATATGGGTCACAGGTGAAAGGTTGTGTCATCTTGTTAGTTGACTAACATTCAAAATTTTACTGAACTACTATTTCATGA